CCTGCGAGCTCCGGGTCCCACGTCCGCCCTCTGCCGCCACAGCTGCTAAGCTCCCAGGCCCCCGGTGGTAAGGGCCGGAGGCGCAGGGGCTGCTGAGACCTGAGACCAAGCTGGAAGCAGCAGTTTGATCACCCGGCCGGCTGAGGTCAGGAGGAACGCGCTGTGTCCTCGTGGGTCTGGGTGCAGAAGGCCCTAAGCAGGTGCATCGAGACAGGCAGGACAGAACTGCCGACCTACGCACATTCGGAAGCACGAAACTCAGAGTCGGTACACAACTGAGAAGAAGGAAGCACAATTGACCTCTACAGAAAATCACCAAATTACACAGACTAACAAGAAAGGAAGAAAGGGAAAAGAAGATATACAAAGCAACCAGAAAACAATTAGCAAAATGACAAGATTATGTCTTTACCAATCAATAATAACACAAAAATCAGTAGTGTCTCTACTTACCAATAATGAACTAGCTGGAAAAAAAATACAGAAAGCAATCTCATTTATAATGGCTACAAAAAATACCTAGGAATAATTTTTTTTTTTTGTTTTTTGTTTTTGAGACAGGGTCTCACTATGTAGTTGAGACTGCCCTGGAACTCACTATGTAGCCCAGGCTGGTCTCGAACTCACAGCGATCCTCCTGCCTCAGCCTCCCGAGTGCTGGGATTACAGGTGTGTGACACCACACCCAGCTAAAAAAAAATTTTAAGAAAGAAACATCGGGAGATATAATATGTAGACAATTACCTTAAATCACTATACACTCATTTTAATCTATTCATAACTCATTTAAAAGAAGTTATATAAAACAATGGTTATAAAATTGTAATGTTGGACTTGTAGCACGAGAGGATGCTGTGTGCAGACGTATTCACACGCGTGTGAGAATGACTGCGCGGGCCGGAACGGAAAGGCAGCTGCGTTTGATTAAGCAAAGTCACTTAGGAACTCTTCGGCTGGGTAAGGGGGCTTCTCCGGGAAATTCTCGTTTTAAGAAGAAGCAGACTGTAACGTGTATATGTACCATTCTGCAAGAGGACTGTAAACCACACGGACCGCGAACAGGTAGAAATGAAATAAAATTTTAAAAATCTTCAAAGCGGTGGGGCCGACACCCTGCACAGGGACGCAAGTCGTCCTCGGAGTCGAGCTACTTCACAGAGAGGGTTGTTACTCAAAGACAGCAAAGCGAGCCCTCTCCCTCTCTGGGCTGGGCGGTGTTACTGCAGCTTCGGCTGCGCCTTGTTTAACAAGACCCCAGCAAAACCTTGGCCAGAAAAGGCCCCGGCGCGTCCGCAGCTCTATCTGCGGGCTCCAGGCTTCCAGACCCGGGGTGTGGGGTGAGGGTGTTGTCGTTAGACCACAGGTCCGCCCCGCCTCTCGGCTGCCCTGCTGTCTGTGCAATTGGACGATTTGGAGGGACCTGGCCGTTCCAGCTGGAGGCGAAGCAGCACCACTTGGAAAACGAAACCTCTGCTGTGCACCTGCACTGCCCTGAGTGCATGGCGCCCTTGAACGCCCTGCACGGATCTGCCTTCGCGTTGGGTGAGGAGGAACCCGAGGCCGAGGCAGGAGGGCTTCTCACACCCCTGACTCTCAGCAGCCCGAGGTCACGGGTTCGAAACCCAGCCGATCTGGGAACGACTGCAGACCGCTTGGCCTATGCGCCCCGCCTCTCGGGTCTCGTGCCGGAAAACCCTCTCTCAGACCAGGGCCACCTCTTCGGGGGGAGGCGGCGAGGTGCCCTCCTCTGGCTGCTGCTGAGCTTCGCTCAGACCGCGCACCCGCGTGAGTGGGCGAGGGGCCGGGGCCCGGGGCTGAGGCCCTGGAGGGGCAGATCCCGAGAAGGGAGCAGGGAGGGTCGAGCCCAAGCCTGCGCCTGAACTGGAGGCTGAGGCTGCAGGATCTTCTGCTGTGTTGTACTGTGCAGCTCATGAAAGATTTTACCAACAGGAAATCAAAAAGATGGGGAAATAAGATAATTTAAGTAGCAGTTCTGATGAATAGTGCAAAGAATATTTTACCCTCGGAAAATTATTAATTGCAGTATTTTTAAGTGAAAGCTGTGTGACCACGTGGTTATTCTGAACATGGGGTGTTCAGGGCGGTCAGAGGTCAGCACATGCGATCCCACACTCAGGTTGGCGCCTCATCGTGTACCCCTAAAATGTGATTCAGCCACAAGGAAGTCTCCGTCTAAACTGTGGAGAAGCTTCCCTCTCCTCCATCAGTTTCTGTCCCCTGCACAGCCTGGGGCCCGCCCCGCTGTGGTCCAGCCCCAGGCCTGCAGCTGAGGACCTGCGTCCAGCGGAGGGCCAACCCCAGGCTGAAACCCCCCTGGTCTCTGCTCGGGTGTTCAGGACTTTGGGGTGGGGCTCCCCGGAGTGGGAACTCATTGCGCCACTCACTTTATTTCTGGACGCTTACTTTTTGTTTGTTTTTTATTTCGCTTTTGGTACCGGGGATAGGCGGCAGAACCACTGCGCTAAATCCCTGGCGCAGGACACTTGCCTTTTGTAAGAGCAATTTCCAGTCAAAGCCTTGCTACTAAGTCCGGTGTTCTCCCACCTAAGAGAAAGCATACACTTCACAGTGTCATAAATGAGTTAAAGTAAACAAAGAAACAAAAGTATCAACCACAGAAGAAATTCTGTATCATAATGGCATTACCTTTTAGGAAACAGAATCGCTTCCTGTGCACACCTTACTGGTCTAATAAGGCTATTAGGAGGCATAAAGTGTGCGCATTTCCATATGGGTGCAATTCTTATCTACGCGGGCAAAGTCACCCAGGCCTGGGCTTCTGGATTTGACCATAGGAAGGAGAGAGAGACATTCTCTTCAGCATCTGTCTGCTGTCCTTGTTTCTCCCCCTTTCCACAGTCATATTCAGGACATGGAATGTAACTATAATAGTACAATAAAATTAGCCACCGTAATTGTTTATCTGCTATATGCAGTTTATGCGCCCAGCACCATTGTGAGGTACATGGGTCATTCGTGCATCTCTTTTTCTCTGTCTCACTGTCATTCGCTCAGTGTCTCCACATACGTGAGTCACAGGGTGACATCAGACACCCTGGAAATACAGCACCGGAAATGGGAGGCCCTAGGCCTCCGGTAAAGAAGCTGAAATGCAAAGCAGGAAGTGCGTCACCGGAAATGTGTTAGCAAGCAAGCAAACTGTGACGGGTGGAGAAGCTGCAGCACCAGGCAAGTTCCGCTTTCGGGACCCTCGCCCTGGTTCATGCCCTGAGAATATTTCAAAATCTCTATTGCTCCAGAGCCCTCTGACTCTCAAGCCTTGCTCAAGAACTGTTTAGAAACCTCACACTGAGGCCTGGCGCGAACTCTTCCTCTGTGATCCTCTGATTTCTCTCCTGGCGTACCGTGCGGAATTTGGACTCACATGTGCAAGTGGCTTGCTCTGACCGGTCATTCGGTGTGCCCTGTCTTCTGTGACACACACACACTCACACTCATTCCTCACACGCTGGGAGACGGGTCCTCCTCAGCAAACATGCAGCTCGCTGTGAATCCCTGACTCTCCCCAGGATCCCGCCCTCTCCAGTATTTCTACTGGACTGTCTCTGAGCCAGGACACACAGTGCCCAGATTTACCGCCTCTGGCTTCGTGGACAACCAGCCCTTCATCCGCTATGACAGTGAGGTCGTGGAGGCAAAGCCTTTGGTGCCCTGGCTGAAGGAAGACAAGAGCTACTTTGATAATGAGACCAAGATCTTCGCGAGCCGCATGAAGGTTTTCCAGTGAAGTCTGAGAAACGTGCAGAATCACTACGATGGCACCACGAGCACGGAGGGCCCACGGCAGCCAGCAGGTATGTGCCTATGGGCAAGCGGGAGCCCCGGAGGTGGGAGGTCCCCCAGTACGGTGAGCAGTTCTCACTTGAGGTTGAATGCCAGCCCGGTGTGTTCACAGGCATCAGGACCCCCCATTCCTTACATGCGCCCCGTCCTACTGGGCCGCAGATCGACCTCTCACTTGTGCGCGTTGTTCCCAGACACAGAGAACCAGACTTTGTAGCCCAGTGTTTACCCTCAGAGGAAGGACCAGGCCCTGGGAAACCTCACTGGCTCCACAGGCATCCCAAGAGGGGCTAGAGACCAGCACGCCTTCTAGCCAAATGAGAAGCACAGTTTACCGAAGGGGGTGAGAGGCAGGGAGGGGCCCCTGAAGAAGGCGGAGCTTTGAGTGGAACCTGAGGGTGTGGGGCCTGAAGAAAAGGCAAGGAGGACACCTTGTAGCTGGGGGTTGAGGAGCAGCCATGTGTGGGCTGGGCAGAGCAAGTGCGGGAAGACTCAGTTATGTAGAAGAGGCCTCCTGCCTGCCTGACGCTACCGGAACAAGTTGTGAAGGGCCTTAAACCATTAAGTGGTGAGGGCCAGGGATTTAGCTCAGTGGTGCTGCCGCCTGCCTTACAAACCAAAGGTCCCAAGTTCAATCCCAGGTACAAAAAAAAAACAAACAAAAAACTGGTGAAATGAAGGCTGCAGAGGGAGGCTGCTCGCTCTGCACCAGCTGATCCTGGGAAAAGCCAGATTCACAAAGTGTCACCAACGCTGTAGGTACAGAGAACCAAAGTCCCAGCCTCGCAGTGTAGAAGGGGAGAGGGCCGGGGAGCTGGGAACAGGTGTAAGTGTGGTGGAGAAGCACGGACCTGTGAACCTCCAGACCCCAGAGGAGGACACGGTTCACCCAAACTCTGCCAATCTCAGTTATGTTTGATTTTTAAATTCACTAGAGAAGTTTGCAAAAGAAGGCAGACTTGTTAGTGCCAAGCTGCACTCTCTTAGGCAGCGCTGGTGAGACCTTTAGAGAACGTGTGCCCAAACTGCAACCCTAAACCCACTTTATCGCAAAGTGCCAACACTGCAAGTAAACTTGAATACTGAGGTTGTGGTTTAGAAGAACAGTCGTCATCTGACACTCGCTGCTGGGGCGCCTTGGTCCGAGGGCCGACGGAGGGCTGTGTTTGCCGCTGTGGCACGCAAACAAGATGTTGGCCACCACTGCTCTGGAACACCAGGGAAAGACCTGACCACGGCACAGCCCCTTTTGTTTGTGTGGGGCCTGTGATCCTGGATCTTGGTATCTGAGACAGTGGGCCCCGGACAGCCTGTGAGTCGGACTCTACCCTTCCACGCACACAGAGCTGTGGGGTCGAGTCGCGTGTCCGATGACACAGGTCACACACAGCCCAGCCTGTGCCCCTCCTGCCCACTGCGTTCTCACTGTGTTGTGCAATCCAGCATCGGCCCCTGCCCAGCTGCCGGCAAGGCAGGGGAACCAGAGTCAGAAAGCAAGCTCGGTTGTCTGCAGAGTGAGTGTGGCCCGGGCAGAGTCGGTGTGTCGGTGGGTAGGATTGGAAAGCCCAGCCTTCACAAGGGCTACTTGGAGAAGGAGTGCGTCTGGTGGCTGCGGAGATAGGTGGCTCTCGGCAGGGAGCACCTGTCCCGCACTGGTAATGACCTCACAGCCCACCTGCTTGGACTCCCCCACATCCCCAGCAGGGGCCGTTCCCTCGCCAGGGTGGGGGCCCCTCGGGGCTGCGCCAGCACAGGGGTGGATGGGGTCATTGTGCTGGGCACCGCCTCCCACTGCAGGAGACGCACATCTGGGGGTCTGCGAGCTCTCGGGCTGTGCCACCTCCTCTCTTCTCAAGTCCTCCCGTGGAGAACTTCTCGGGAGAGCTCTGGGGTGCTCCTAGGCTGAGGGCTTGCGAGCGCTTCTGCCCTCTCCCTCCAGGGACAGCTGCGAGTGCCGATCAGCATCTGCCTAGAAACAGTGGCCACTGGCTTGGTGAGGCGGAGTCCTCACCACAGGGACCCTTGCCCTGCACGATGCTGGGCCCCAGGTCACAGCCCCTCCCCGAGATCCTGCTTAGCTCCGTGCCGGGTCCCCCGCTCCTGCCTAGGTGACACCTGCCTTGCCCTGGCTGGCTGCCAAAGCCCCAGGGCTTGTGGCATCTTGGTCAGCAGAGGAGGTGCTTCTCGGCAGGTCTTTCCAAGGGTGCCTCTTGTCTACCACAGACCTGCCCCAAACTTACGTGACCCGCCACCCCGTCTCCAAGGAAGAGGTCACCCTGAGGTGCGTAAGCACTGCGCGTTTGTGCGCACTTGCGCAGCCGTGTGTTCTGCGTAGGACCCCTGGTCTGCCCTTCCCTGCCTGCCGCTCCGCCCCGCAGGTCTCAGGGAAGGGCACTGCTCCCTGCCTGCAGCCAGGAGAGAGGGTCGGGGCCCGCGCTGGGGAAACGGGGGTTGTGCGGTTTAACCTCGGAGAGCCCCGGAGGCCGGGCGGCGCTCAGTCCCGTCTCTCGGAGGAGGAGACCGAGGCCGCGGAGCGGG